ATTTTTTCGCAACATTTCAATAAATTATTTTTCACATGCCAACTTCATCCTTTTACAGTACTCTATGTCATTGAATCATATTTCTGGAAATTGGAGTTTATGAGAAGTGAAATAGAAACCACGCTTCTGTCAAACATGCGACTAATTGTTGCTCTCTCCAAGACTGGATTGCTTCAAGACTGGCGTCTCTGATAGTTTCCTACTTGATTATCTTTCATCAAAAATTCGAACTATTTTCAATAGACATACCAAAGCTTTTTGAGAAATTAAAGTGAGATTAATTGCCTTTAAGCAATCAACTCAAGAATTTTTCTATTAAATTAACGAACTAAAAGTTTCTCAATCATTTACTTTTACTTTTTAGGGTTCAGAATTAAATACACATGATTATTCATTTTCGTCAAATAATCGTTCATTAACAAATTCAAATACAAATCATCAACATCGTTTACATTCCATATCATCATCATCATTATATAATAATGGTCATATAACAAAAACAAATAATCGTAATAATTTAACAAATGAAAATAGTTTAGAACGTTTATCTAATGATAATCATGAACGTATATATGGAGAAAATCATTCTGATATAATAATAAAAACAAATGAAAATCAATTTGATCGACTCGAAAAAGATTTTGTAAATAAATTTTTGATAGAAACATAAACAAATAACAATAATTTATTTTTTTAAAATTTTTCTTAGCCATCATTAAATCGACGAGATTTAGCATCAAATAATAAAGAACAATCATCTATATGGAATAATGCATCATCAAAATTTCGTATTTCAAATCAAGGAAAATTTTCACGTACATTTGGATCAAATCGTCTTATAACACGACGTGATCGTTTATTAAGTACACCAAATAATTTAAATACAAATACTCGATCAATGATACATGAATTACAAACAAGTTGTATAACACAAACAAAAAATTTAGATAAACGTAGTAATTTTTTAAATTCATTAAAAAATAATTCAAATAATGAAGAAAAAAATATAAATAAACATCATTCAAATCAATCATCAAAATTAATAGAAAATTCAAATGAAAATTTTCAATCAACAAAAGAAACATTACTTTTATTATCTGTTCCTGAAACATCAGAAGAAAAAGAGTTGAGTACTAATTCTAGAAAATTTTGTGAAACAATATTTTTAACGAAACATTGAAGTAAAGAGATCAAAAATTTGAATTCTTCCCACCTTTCTGGATGTTAAAATTAAAATTTTTTCGGTTTTTGATTTTTTTTGTAACTGATATAGCTTTGAAATGTCCTTTGTCAAATGTCATATATAAGTTTAGAAAAACTTTTTACACAAAAAAAAAATGCAGAACTAAACTTTTTTGTTATGAAATATTTTACATTATTGATTTTTGGCAGATTTTGCAAAAACAAAAAAAAACAAAGTTCTAGTATAAAAAACTTGCAGTTTTAGAGATATACTCAGTATTTTAACCCTTGTATTTGAATAGAAGAAGATAAAGTGAAACCAAAAACTGTAGACATCTCAAACACTGTATAGTATTTGTAAGAAAAAGTTCAACTCTATCAAACATATTGTAATTGAGGATGTGGAAAGATTTTTTGGTTTTTGCGACCGAGACATTTCCTAGAAGGACGTATTTAAGAATTTGCAGTCTAATATAACTTTTGCCTATTCTTCAGAAATATGTTTTTGAAAATTTAGATTATTAATACGTATGGGTTGGAATGATGATATGGCTTATGAAATAACAGATAAAGATAAAGAAGAATATGAAAAACAAATAAAATTTTTACCTAAAGTAAACGAAATTTTATATATAAACTTTAAATAAATGTTTTGTTTTTGTTTTTTTATATCTGTAGACAGATAATCGATCTACAACATTAATAACAGCTTTACATCGTCGTTCATTACCATGTATAAATATTCGAGATATACTTCGACTTGAAATGATTGGTTCAACATCAGATGATGACAGTTCAGAAGATTAACATAAAATTTTCTTTTCTTTAAAAAAAAAAAAAAAGAACGAAAAACCGGTTTTTTTTCTCTCATTCTCTTTACGAGTTCATTTATTGTTTTCTTATTTGCCATGAATACATTTGGTTTTTTTTCTTTATTGTGTTCTTATTTTTGTATTTGATCGCTGTACTTGAAGAACACTAACTACTTTGTTGTTTTTTTTCTCTTTGTTATATATATATACGTGTGTGTGTGTGATGTTTATTTACTTTATCGTTTTCTTAACAAACGTTCCACTCAATATGTATTGTTATGCATATAAAACACAAAAAAAAAACAGAACTATAACTATCTATTTTATAATTAATGATCGTTTCTTTTCTTTTCGTTGCTTATCCAGCTTTTGTTTTGCTAATGACGCTTCTGCCATTTTTTTGTTTTCGTTTATGTTGTTGCATTGCAATGCATTGCCGTATCGTTGTTATTATGATTTTTAGTCTCTCTCTTGAATATATATTAAAAATACAATACCACAAAAATGAGGAAAGCACGAAAAACAAAAAAATATTTTTGAATATTAAGTTTCGGACGGATTTATTTTAAGAATAAGCTGGCGAAAATAAAAGATAGAGTGCCATGATTTAGAATCTATCTTAAAAATTCGGAGAAGAATGTCATAAAAACCTTGAGTTGTGCTTCGTACTTACTAGACAAAGACTGTTATTGTATAAAAACAAAGTAATGTGATATTTGAGAAAAACACAAATTCTTGTCACGACGCAATATAAAAAAAGTAATTAAATAATAATCCGCGAAAAGCTATACAACATATATATATATATAGCTAATAAATTGTAAAAAATTAAATAAGTCTAAAAACCATGATGCTTACAGCTATTATCATCGTATGTCTAGGACTTTCAATCAATGGTTTACCAGTAATTATTCGACTTTTTTTTTCCTAAAATTGATTCTATTTCTTTGATAAATCAGGTTGAGAATAATGATTCAAAATTATTGAAAGATGCCAATCCTGAATTTCTTGGTAAAGAACTATCTATATAATTATTAATACAATTTATTAACACTTCTAACAATAGGTGGTGGTTTTGAAGGTGATATGTTCCTTCCACCAGATTTTTATCAATATCGTGGAGCTGCTATTCTTGGAACACCACGTCGTTGGCCTAGCAACGTAATTCCATATGATATGTCTGCTATTTCGGGTAGATTTCCAAAAAAAAAGAAATCAATCTTTGCTGTTTATTTTATAATTGAATAATAGATGCTAATGATCGAAATACAATTACAAAGGCCATGAATAAATTAATGTACGATGTTGGAACACCTGTACCAGATCAAACAACACGAAAAGTTTGTGTCTTTTTTCGACCAGCTCAAACAGGTGATAAAGAAGTTCTTAAAATTCAATATGGTAATGGATGTAGTGCATCAGTAAGTTGAAGAAAATTAAAACCTTTGAAGATTTATTATTTAATATAGATTGGATATGGTTCAAATTACCAAAAAAACCTTACTTTACAACAAAATGGATGTTTTCATGAGGGCATTATTCAACATGAACTTACTCATGTTCTTGGTAAGGTTTGATTGAATAATTTTAAAGGCTTTGAATTTATCTGATATTGTCTTTTTAGGCTTTTTTCATGAACAATCACGACCTGATCGTGATTCATTTATAACCGTACATACAGAAAATATTTTAACCAATCTTGTAAATGATTAATTCTGTTTATTAGAATTAAGTTCTCATTTTTTTAGGAACATAATTTTAAAAAATATGCTTGGGGAACCGAGTTAGAATCACAAGGATTTGGATATGATTATGGTAGTTTGATGCATTATCCACCAGATGCTTTTTCCAAAAATGGTAAACCAACAATTACACCAGTCAAAAGCAATACAGTAATTGGTCAAAGACAAAAACTCAGTTCAATAGATATAGCAGAAATTCGTCATTATTATAAATGTTGAAAAAACATTTTTCAATAAATGGATCGAAACAATATCAGTGAAATTTTTTTCATACAGATTGCTCGTTAAATTGAACAAAATTCAAGACTTTGTAATTGGTGAGATATGAATTCTATCAAAGAAACTTAACAGCAACTTAGATTATAGCGTCTTCTAAACAAAGCTTTGTCATTTTCGAAAATATCATAGTTGTAACGATAAGGATGCGATCTATGGTCAAAGGGAAGTTGAATTTTCGGTCAAAGTATAGAGATTTGCAGTGCCATATTCCTTCAAATTCAAGCCTCACTCGACCGACGTTGCTCTAGAAAAAGAGCTAATTATAACTTGATTCTTATAAAAGCATTGTCAAGATTGCATAAGAAATGTTGAGGATGTGTTTGGGAGTGACGATCAGATGCGAACTGATAAACTCCTATCAATAAAACATTTCGCCATCTAAAGTTTTCAGCGATTGAAAAGTTAAAATTGGTTTAAAATTGTCTTGATTTGGAAAATTGAAAACGTTTGTGGAGAATATATTGATAAGAAATTGAATACGATATCCATAAAAACTAAATATGAAGTGCGGTAAATTTTGAATCTATTCCTCGATCAACAACGGCAAAATTCATATATTATCATTTTTTTTCTTCGTACTTCGAAAGTATATAGTAATCTCATCTTCACTTTCTTCGAGTCAATGACAGTTAGAACCAATCGAATAGGTCCTGGAACCAATTTATCGATCACCATTTTAGAAGTGAGAATCAGTTATACACTGGATTTAAAAATTGTGGACTTGACGAACTCTATATGTACCACAACATCGAGTTTCTCATCCAAATTAGAACATAACTTTTATTTTGGTCTTATGTTTATGGATAAAATTTTTATTATATTATTGATGAATCAAATATTGGAAAATTATTAATGATAAATTCAATTGATATTAAAATGACTCCAACAACATCGACAAATGATAATGATAAATCAACATCAATCTATCATACATTATGTGCATGATCAGAATTAGTTCATCATCCTGATTTAATCTACATACAATATGACACAAATTAGAAATAATCCTGTTGTTTTAATGATAACGTCATCAAGAGTACGTTTAAGTGAAGTAAAAATGCAAATAAAAACAACAAAGATTCAAGATATTGTTGCATTAAGACATGATCAACGAACAACATTTATTTTATTAGCTGACGATGGAAGTTTAAACTTTTTCTTAGCTGACTTAGATAAAAAAAAATTATTGGTTAAATAAATTTGATAAAAAAAAAAGAAAGATTTTCCTATAATTGACTTAGATTTAAATGAAGATAATTTTGATTATGAAAATTTTAATTATCATTCACATAATCAGATAATGAACAGTTGAACATGTTAAGACATAGTACAGTATTATATTGTTTTTCATCGCAGTTATAGATTATCACTTCAGTAGTTGGTATACCAGCATCAAATGCTTCAACATTATTAATATCTTGAATACGAGTTGCTTCTATTTGATTACCAGCACCGCTAACATCGCCAGTATGAGAATTAATAAGAATATCTTAAACATCACCAATTGTATCATCAGTAGAAATAGGTATACCACCAACAACTTCAATACCATGAGCAGCTGCTCTAATTTCATTGACATTTTTAATACCAAAGGCTCTAACATCTTGCTTACTCATAATAATAGAGTCAACACCAGATTTATTTTTGATTCCTGAAATATAAAACAAAGTGTATACTGATAGAGAGCGTTTTTACAGAAACCTTTTGCATTGATTTTATTTAACAGATCTATTCCATCGATGACTTCGCCAATTACCATCTATTTGATATGAAGAAATTTAATCAATATTGCAAAATGATATTTCACCCATGTGACTTTGATTTAAGGATGGCATAGGATCTAGAAAAAAAAGTATAAGCATTTATTAAAAATATATAGTATAACTTACGTACAGAGCGTGATTAAAAATGTTGTTGATGTATCATGTAAAACCATTGATATAATAGCCAAGATTTATCATGAGCAAGTTGTGTATCATTATGTTTTGGTTCTTGATAAAAATATCTAAAAATAAGAAGAAAACGTATTAAAAAAAAAAAGAAGTAAAAGCAGCTATTCTAACCGTTTACTATGTTTATTGAAGCATACAGTTCCACCTTCTACAACAAAAACAAAAACAATGTTCAAAATATATTTTACAAAAATTTTTATCTTGTAAGTAATGATTTTTGTATAAATAATTCAATCTCCGATTTTCGAAGTTGAAATATTTACTACTATTGCAAATGGACTTTAAAAAATCTACAAATAATAGAAATATGATTAGCTAGTAAAAATCAGCCACTTACAGTATGTGTTTGCCTAGGTCGATCATTTCGATCGCCTAAAACGGCATCTTATAAGGCCTAAAACGGCTTTATTCTTGCCGTAAGCGGCGAATAAAAAGAGCCGTTCTTTATCGATTTTAGGGCCGTAATCCATTATACTAGATTACGGAACGTTTTTCACCAAAACGGAAACGGCACCGTTCAGTGTCTGAAATGTAATATTGTCTGACGTTTAAAAGTCATACTTAGTTGTGCTTTTACTTGTGACACCAATCAATAAATTTTCTAACGACATATATAAAATTGTTGGCATGGAATCCTTTTCTGTTGTTGCTATTGAAACTCGAATTATTCACGTTCTGGTTAATCCGCTGATTGAAATGTAACAGAAATTCGACGCAGATATGATAAATGTTATTATTATGAGAACTCTATCAACGCGTATCAACATGTTATAAGAACACACTGCCAATTTATCGTTTAATTATCAATGTGATTTATTGTCTATTAATAGCTGTCCATACAGCTTTAACGAATAAAATTAGCTTGTCATCATTTTAGTTATTTCAAAGTTTCAAAAATGAGCTAAACTTACAAAAATTTAACTCTTTGGATAGCTTTTTTTTAAGAAAATGAAATGTCCTATTGAAGACTGAAAAACAAAGGATACAGAGGCGATCATGACATTTCATTCACACATTTCAACCAGTATTTTCTGACTTATCACATAAATGGGATGCAAAGCAATCTCAGACTTCGACAATCGTCTTTGATGTAACATAAGAACGACGAACGATTCCGTATAGTGTCGCTTCTGCTCACAATAGCTGGTGGTGCAGCTGACTAGAGACTATTAGCTCATGACGAAACCGCTGTTTTGTGGAATTTTCTGCAAATGAACGACAACTCATATTAAAGAGTCAAAAATGTTGAAATCTTCTGGAAACATCGATCTGCCAAGAAAACTTCGAACGAATTACTAACAACTTCCTGTTCTCTAGATTAACACGACACGAAGTACAGATTTTGTTGTGTTAATCAAAAAGCTTCAAATATTTAATATACTGGTATGAGTAATAAGTACAGTTAAGTCTATTGGCAAATATACATTTCCGAGTAACTTTTGTGAAGAATCAGAGATTTTATAAACTGTTTGATCAATTGTACAGAAACTAGCCTATGAAATATTTTCAGGCATCATAAAATTTGATAAAAGAAAAAGTCAACTTTGTTCGAATAAGAAAAGGATTTTATGGGTTCTCGAACTGCGTCATTTTAATGAAATGACTGTAAAATAAAATTGTACTTTTATCGATAGCATTTTTTGAAACATAAAGAACAAAACTGAAGTCAATAATGTTTTAATGTCCATTCTAAAAATTATATCTTATCTCAAACGAGTAGTTGTCATAAACATAAAAACTAATAAAGTCTAGCAATAATTATCTCTTCATTTTACTGTCCTAATAAATAGTTTGTTCTTTATAGTCCTATATTCATTTGTTATTTAAAAATAGCCAAGAAATGTCTTATTCATTTACAATCATTGCCAGTGTATTATTATTGGCAACAATTAATGAAATCGATTGTCTTCAATGTTATAAATGTAGTTGTTCTATTAAACCAGGTGAAACAACATGTACAGATGACAGTGAACTACAATGCGTTATAGAATATGTTGAAGATAGTTATTGTTTTATTTCACGCTTATCAAATCATCTAAAATTTGATCATAATCCTAACTCGGATTTGATATTTTTAGAATCTCTACATTATATACAAGAGAAAGAAGACATTATCTTTTTGGAAAGCAATTCAACTTGGGAATTATCTAGTATTCTAGAATTTTCTTATGGTTGTGATTGGAATCTATGTAATACACCACGTATTCTTAGTTTTCTTCCAAGAAGTCTTACATACACTATTGATTCAAGTCTTTTAACAAATACATTAATTGCTGAACCTACTGAACCATTTACAACATGTTTAACATGTACAGAATGTGCAAATTCAACCGATGAAGTAACTTGTCCAACATCAGCATGTAATGGTACATGTTTTATTAATGGTTATTTTGATCAGCCAATATTAAATTCTAGTTTATGTTTCTTTCCATTTGAAAGTGTATGTATAGAAGAAAATCTTAATACATCAGTTCGTATAACAGGAATATATTATATTGATGATGATATATTTGACATACTTGATATAGATATTTGGTGTAACAAAACAGATTGTAATAATCCAAGTAATACACAAATAATAAAACAAAATATTTCTTATTCAATACAAATTAATGATCAAGTTTATTTTCGTCCAAATCTTAGTAGTACAACACCCTCAACACCAAATAATGATCTACTTGCTTGTTATGTATGTCATTGTGAACATGAAATAGGTGATAATAATTGTAAAATATTACAATGTACAATTGAATATAAAAATGGAAGTTTTTGTGAAATAGTACGTGATTTTAAAAGTTTTCCTAATAAGGAATTTATTAGTCTTGGTCATGTACAAAGGCAATATGTACCTTATAGACATTATATTCATGCAGAAGAAGAAATAATACTTTATAGAAATTTATCATGGCATCCACCATCAGTTAGTGTGATTACATATGTATGTGATTGGCCATTATGTAATGATGGTCGTATTGTTGACAAATTAACAACAAGTTTTCAATTTAATGCTGAACCATCAATGATAGCAGAATATCTTCAAAGTTCTGAACCACTTAGTAGTTGTCGTCAATGTACACTTTGCACTAATTCAAGTCTTGATTTTGATAATTGTACATCTGTCCCGTGTTCAGCTAATGGAAGCTGTTTTATTAATCAATATATTGATGATCCTGAATATAATGATTGTGAATATGCATTTCAAGCTGAATGTGAAGACTTTGCATCAGAATCAAGTATTATAATTACAGCTACTTATAGTATTGATGATGATATATTAAATATTGACGAAGTAGAGATTTACTGTTCTAAGAATGATTGTAATAAACCTGAAACTGTATTTGATTTAATTGATCTTTTAAAAGAAGATATTCAACTTGATTCATTATTTTTTATTCGTCCAGTGGTAAATACTACATCACCACCTCCTATTACAGAACCAACGCCAAGTTCCATTATATCCACATCTAGCTCTGATACAACGTCGAAAACTGCGACAGGATCGACCACTTCCATCAGAACCACAACTAGCTCTAATACGGCATCGACAACTACTACACGATCATCCACATCTAGCTCTGTTACAACATCGAAAACTACAGTAGGACCTCCCACTTCCATCAGGCCCACAACTAGCTCTGATACAACGTCGAAAATGATGACAGAACCTCCCACAACTAACTCTGATACAACATCGGAAACCACTACAGGATCATCCATTTCCATCATGACAACATCAAATTTTGCAATTATTTACTTGTTTCTTATTCGTAGTATTTTTCTTATCTTTCATTATTAATTGAAAACAATTTTATTAAATCAAGATAAATTATTTTTGAAAATAGCTCGTAATGATATGATATGATTAGTGCTTTAGAAATATCTTATATAATTAAAACCTATTATCTTCTCGATTTAATTGAGATTAATTATTGTTTTACAAGTTCTTTTAATACGTAAAATTACATGGAAAATTTTTATAACATTTTCATTTGTGCAGAACATCATAAAATTAATATATAGAAAATATTTATAAAAGGTTTTAATAAAATAGGATACGCTAGCGTTATCGACTTTTTTTAATAATTATTTAGAATTGTCAAATATCCAGAGAATGTTTTTAAAGAAATTACTTCATTTCGAATATGAAATTTAGTTTAATTTCATTAATTACTTCATTGTATTTTCTATTCTAATTTTTGTTTTAGAAAATAATTACCAAATAAGATGACATTGCCTTTTTCATCCTGACACATTATTTACTTGAATATCTCTATACTACAGCATGTTACCAATAAGGAAGATCGATCATAAGAAAATCTGTGAATATGATTTATCATTTTCATACTAAGAGCATTAAGCTGCATGCTATTAGCCATACTGAGTAACTCTCAACAAATATAATCAATTTGAGTAATCTCGCATTACATTATACTATCTTATATTGCCGTTTATAGTGCAATATTTGACTTTATTAATATCTGTAATACATACTGTGGATGACAGACGAACTGGTACTTCCGTTTACATTTAACTACGAGAAAAGGAAAAGAAATGACTATTCATTAATCAGAAATTAAAATATTCAGTTTTCTGCAAAACTTTCACTGTACAGTGAATGAACTTATAGTTTCAGATTGTATATCAATGGAATTCAATATGTATACATGCATATATTCATACATTCCAAATTAGTGATATGTTGTTTACTGATAAATTCGATCATGTTATTTTTCACATATTTTTCCAAAAATAAATGAAACACGTTAAAATGTGACATGTAAAGGAAATAATTTCATTTTTGTAGTTA